GCCCCTGGACTCGCGTGCCGGGGGCGTCGTGGGGTCGGGGTTGCGTGCGCCTGGCGGAGAGAGGCGAGAAAGTGGCGGGGGCGATGAGCGGGAGAAAGTGAGCGGGGGGGGGGGGCAGGGAAGGATGCCAAGCGGCATGGGAGAGTCCGCTGCCTATTATGGTAACATTCTTTCCCCTGGCAGAGCTGAAAGGACAATGCCAGCCGAGTTGCCCTCCAGGCCAAAGGGCTGGCATACAGGAGCCCTAAAGGGTGGAAGAAACCCTATCTTGCTGGATGGCTGCCTGCACTTGCCTTAGCTCCCTCGACTTGAAAGCCAGTGAGGAGGGAGGCAACTGTTCCTTGGTCAGATGGCAACTTGCCTTTTGAAGTCAGCAAGGAGCCAATTTGGCTCGCGTTAGGGAAAACCACCTGCGGTGGCTTGCAAACCATTGGTTAAGGTTTGCGGATTGCAAGAACTTAGCCAGCTGCAGTTTCTTCCCTAAACCATGGCTTAGTGCAGCGTTCAAATTCTCCTGTTCACAATGCCTTCCTTTGGAGCAGGACAGAAGATGTTCCTGTTAACTATTAACTTTTTCAAAAATCCAGCCCTGGAGAGCCTTCAACATGTAAAGCATCTGTTCTTCCCCTGGAGGGGGGACCTCTTGCCTCTTCCCATTACTGAACATGAAGATTGGGGCAGTGAGGAGATAGTTGGTTTAATGTCAAGGCAACTAAACCAAACTTTTAAAGCTAGAAAGCAGCCTGAGGAAGCCACCTGAGTCACTTTGCTAGTTGCTTTCGCAGGATGAATTGACACATTTAATCTCCATGCCTTGCTGATGCCCCTTGGTAGAGCAGGCCATTCAGACGCCCGGCCTCAGCATACAGAACAGGGCCAACTGATGAGCGAGAAAGGATAGAGTGAGAAAGGATAGAGAGAGAAGTTTGCTAGTAACGGCATAGAACCTTCAACTCTAAATTATAAAATGACTCAGATGCTCCCAGGAGCTGGCTGTGTTTCCTATCATCTCGGAGGTTCAGGGGGCTGCAAAGGCAATGCGTGTGGCTTGTTGAAAGAACCCCCAATTTGCTGAGCACAGTCCTGCACACTTATGCAACAGTCTCATTATATAACATTAACAACTGCTGAGAATGAGTTGTGCAGTTTTAGGCAAGTTTGTATCTGTTGGGTCTACTTCATTTAAACGGCCCTTAGTGATTCCCCCCACCCTTCTTCTAATGTAAAGCATGTATGCTCTGTACTTCTGGGACAGCTCTCAGAGTGGCGTATTTCCTAGCCTATAGACTTACTGGCTAGAAAAGTAAAGAAACGGGGTGGGGAACGGAAGAATGCAAATAATGGAGTACGGCTATTTATGCAGATCTTTTGGTGATCAGAGTTGTGGAACAAGAACTCTGGAACTCCATTTGTAAATCATTCTCTAACTCCAAATGCCTGAAATTTAACATCTGGATTGTAGCAAGGGAGGCCAGGCATTGGACCAATAGTTTTTTTGATGGATGGTGGTTGCCTAGCAACCAGGGCAGTGGTCCCTCCCTACATAGCCTAGTGGTTGGTTTCTGATTGGCTGTGGTAGAAACACGGATGCCCTGCAGCTAATGCGTGCTTGTAATCTGTGGGCCTGCCAGATACTTTCATGCTCATGTTTTACAGTCTGTTCTAATGCCAGTTTCTTTGATGGTGATGGAAGAAACCCTTCATCCTGCCTGCTGGCTGGGGATGATGAGAGAGGTGTTCAAAGATGAGTTAATGGAAGTCTGACCTCAAACCTGTCCTGGTAGCCTTCGGGTGCTAAGAGTCCTGGATTATAAATATGAAAAGTTGGAGCGGGGGGGAACGGGGTAGACATAAAGCTGCTGCTGGTTGCGATTAAATGATGGATGGGATGTTTCCAGTGGAAATGGCTAAAACCAATACAGTGATGTTGGGCTTGTCTGCTGCACTACCCCAGCAAATATTCTCAGCTAGATTCAGAAATGTTGATAGGTTCTGATCCACCTTTTTCCTTCCCTTGTTTCCAGATGAAGCTGGACAAGGATAAGTTCTCTGTCTTGCTGGATGTCAAGCATTTTTCACCAGAGGAGATAAACGTGAAGGTGGTAGGCGACTACATTGAAGTACACGCCAAGCATGAGGAACGTCCGGTAGGTAGCCTTCTAGGTCTCCTGCTGTTTTACATTCTGAAAAAATGAGCAGGTTGGGTGGAAGAGCATGTTTTAAAGCTGCATTTTTAAATCTGTTCTTAACTTGGAACTCAAATGGAATGTTCCTTCCTCGTCTCTCTCTCTCCTGACCCAAAGATGTGCTTAGGATCAGATCCAAAAAGGTTGATCTTGCACAAAGTGCTTAACCCTAACCTTGTGTTAATTGGCTCCAGTTTTTGTATTCATATAATGCTCTGTGTCCAAACATTTAAACCCTATATTATGACTTAATGTGATGTCTTGGTTCTTCCAGTATGCTGAACCACAGATTATCTTACTGTAGCCTAGGCTAATGTATATTGCACTAAGCTGAGCCTTAATGTACTAATTGCCTAAAATCATTCATCAAACACAGAAAGAGCTTTAAAATACTTCTGAGTTTAGTTGTCGAGAGATCTAGCAATGGGAGGTGGGATGGTTTAACCCACCTGGTAGGCCCCACATGTAAATAGAAAGCATTTTTGTGCTATGATGCTATGGATAAAGTGTGTATTACTGCCGGGGTACCCCCAATTCTGCGTAACGGTTGCTTTTGGCCCCAGTGGAATATTTAGAATTTGGGGAGCCCCTTTTGGATGCTTTGACAAAATGTCACCCATGTATTGTTTGTCGATTTGCAAAACGGCTGCCTTCATGGGCACGGCCTTTCAACAACATGCCCGTTTCCATGAAGGGAAGTAACAAGCTTGTTCTTTTTCAATGAGCTTCTTGCTCGTTCCCTCCCACCCCACCCCAGACAGGTGGGCCCACTTCTGAACAAAACTCCACAATATTACCAGTGCTATTTTTGTTTTCTGAAGATGCCTAGGGAGTGTATGAGGGGCCTTGTGGCACCTGAGCAAATAAAGATAGTGCTGGAAGTTTCCTCTGAAGCATCAGCATACATTGCCATTTTTTTTTTTTTTAAAGATGCTTCAATTTGAAAAGGTGGGGCAGGAAAGGGTCTGGGGGTTGCAAAGGTCTGCAAAGCCTGCAGGCACATTGAAGGATACCCCAGTGTGCCAGTCCACCACTTCCCTGTTTAGTCATTAATTTGCTTGGTCTTGCTCTGCTCTTACAGGATGAACACGGCTATATCTCCCGTGAATTCCACCGTCGCTACATGGTCCCCAAGGGGGTTGATCCAGGAGCTCTCACCTCTGCCTTGTCTCCAGATGGGGTGCTCTCCATCACTGCCCCCACTAAAACCCCCGCACTGGAACGGAGCATTCCCATCACGCGCCAAGAGAAGCCAGCTGTCACTGGAAAATAAGAGGGAAACCTCCTGGCCCAGCATCCTTTATGTGTCCCCCCCCTCCCCTTAGATAACAGCATTGTGAGCTTGGGCTCCCCTTGCTTGTAGGTACAAGGTTGTTCACTCTTAAGCCTTTAAGGAAGTGACATTCCTTTCCTACCCTCCTAATTCATACTGGGATGCTGACAGCAAAGACTGTGTTGTCTTAACATTTCAGTCCATATCCTGGAGAAGACAGGGCCATTTTCTTCCTCTGGCTAGGAGTATCCTTTCCTTTGCAGGCTTACTTTATACCACTCTTCACGTTGAACTTATTTCCTTGTATAAATACACATTTGCAATAAAGTGCTTTTTTGCTTAAAAGCTACATGTTGCCTGATGGATACTTGCTAATAAACATGAAGCGATTACTGTATCTTCTAGTGGACTGGAGTGGACCCAACTGCCCCACAGAGCTTGAAGTGAAGGAGCTGTGGGGTGTGAATGTGGTTGGAAAGCTGAATGTTTGATGTTCTAGAAATGGGGGGGTTATTACAGAGAAAGTAGGTTTTCAGAGGGCTATGGACAATCACTCCTTGCTGCTACAATTCAAGCTGAGTTGGCCCTGCACTCAATTAGTTGTACTTGGATCTCACTGAAGTTGGTGTGAGGAATTAACCATGCTGCTGTACGGTTTGTCTGGATCTAACCTGATCACCAATAAAAGTCTCTCGAGTTCATTTCAGAGATGTGTGCACAAAAGTCTTATATGGATTATAGTATGGAAGCAGCTTGCCTTCTGGAATTGGTTTCAATTTCCAGCCTACCCTACAGCCCTGGAATTTCCTTGTGTTCTCTCAGCAAAGCACTATTCAAGCCTGGGCACTGCTTAGCTTTTGGAGAATAGAAAAAATGATTTGGTTACACATTTTTCTGATTATTGTCCCATTCAATAGCAAAAAATAAATTTTTAAAGGCTACATCACGTTGCAACAATTCTTGACTGGGGGAAACAGGTCACATTAAAGCTGAATAGGACTAACAGTTTTGGGGAAAAATTTTTAGCATTTGGTCTTTGCTATTGAAATGTATAACCAGAGGTTATAATTGCAGAGTAAATTATCATGCAGATTTCATTTCTCTTCACAATTTTTCTGCTAAATAATGATTGCCTAATATCTGCGAAAGGACATTGGATAAAAACAGCATATAGAAGTACAGGAACTGTGATGTTTCAACTGCCTATATTGATTATTGATATTCCATCAAGTTGGTGTTGACTCTTAGCAACCACATAAATTTTCTCCAGGGTGATCTGTCCTTAACCCGGTCCTTCAAGTCTTCCAATGGTGCAATCAAATCCATCCACTTTGCCACCGAGCATCCTTTTGTTTTTCCTTCCTCCTTTCCCAGTATTATAGACTTCTACAGAGAGCCTAGGTCATCACATAATGTATCCGAAGTATGATTACTGGAGCCTGGTCATTTGTGCCTTGAGCAAGAACTCTGGGTTTGTTTGTTTTCTTGGCTGTCCATGGTATTCTCAGGAGTCTTCTCCAACACCAAAGTTCAAACATGTCAATACTCTTTCTACCTTGCTTCTTCAAAGTCCAACTTTTGTTTCCATAAAATGTCACCGGGAAAACCATTGCTTGGGATGTTCTAACCTTTGTACACATCACAGCATCTGAGTATCTTTTCCAAGGCCTTTCCTGACTGCTGGTTCCATTATTGTAGATCAGTGTTTCTCAGGTTCAGCTGGCTGGGGAATTCTGGAAGTTGAAATCCACACACCTTAAAGTCGCTAAGGTTGAGAAACACTGATGTAGCTAGTTGATCCTAAAAGTCAGGGACAATCAACTACTTCAGTATCTAAGGCTGGTTGATGTACCCGAGGTCACTAGCTTGGTGTTGATATTTAATCTCAGTCCCATTTTTTCACTGTGCTCCTCCATTTTTATTACAAGAGCTTGCATCATTTGCATTTTCAGCTATCATGCCCATATTGAAAGGTTGGAGTGGGGGTGAGGTAAAATCTGTTCTTTGTCAAAACAGATCAAATTTGTAATTAATGGATATAGAAATGCAAAACAAAATCCTATGAATGATAAACTAGAAATTTACATAAAGAGTTTCCCTGCTATTGAAATTAAGGAGAAGAAGAAGAAATAAGTTAGGGGCTGGTTTGCAGAAAGGGGGTGGGGGCAGGAGGTGGGATAGATGTAAACTGGCAACACAGCCCTTTATAGATGGTCATTCCTAGCTCCTATGTTGAAAGAAAAAAGAATGCTTTTAGTTAACAAAGTTGAGAATAAAAGATACTTTTGAACTCTGCCAAGGAGAATGTTGCAGTTAGGTGGACACAAATCATACAGCCAGACACACAATGCCTATGAAAGGAATTATTCTTTGAAGCTGTTGGTACTTGCCCATATTAAGTTTAATGAGGAAATCAAAAAAGCTAGTCCCCACCCAGGAGAAGGAGTAGAAGCAGTAATTGCATTCTTTTCTGAAGAGATCTGCAAACGGGGTGGTGTGATGACGCAAGACAAAGCAGGTATGGTAAATCCAAGGGAAATTTACCAAAGTTATTTTAGACATTTGGCTAAATGGGAATGCACCCATTTTCAAGATGCAATTCTGGGGCTGCAAATGTTGGGTTGGCACCACACAGCTTACAAGTTGCCTTTTGCAAAGATTTAACATGCAATGTGGCATATCGTTTACCTGGGGATTAGCCATTCTGCCCTCTTTACATTTGGTGCTGCCCTAAATGTGATTTTTTTCCGTCTTACCACTAACCCTATTTGGCTTTTGGTGTATAGATACAGCATTGCTCTATAAGGAACATCTTAAATGATACCCCCCCCGCTCCCCCAGGATATTAAGTTTACAACATTTAAATGCTGCTTTGAAAAGGCTGTAAGTGGCCTTTTGAAACTAAGGATTTCAAACCCTTTTAGCAGAAGCTTTCCTAGGAAGCTGAAAAAGGAAGTGTACAGGCATGAGCTGAAAAAAGAAGTTTACAGCAGTGTTTTTCAACCTTGGCAGCTTGAAGATGTGTGGACTTCAACTCCCAGAAGTTGAAGATGAAGTCCACACATCTTCAAGCTGCCAAGGTTGAGAAACATTGGATTAGGGAAATGGGCAATGAAAAAAAAAATGCTTTCAACTGCACAATGAAGGCCAGGGGTCACACACTGGGGTCAGGTAGGTTATAATCAGGTCAGGCAGTTTCTGTTTCAGTATACTGGGAGATTTCCCCACCCCTCCTTATCTTGGCATGTTGTGTAAACCAGGCCCGCATGAAGCTTGTAATTGGGCACTAAATGTTATGTGAACGCAGCTGTTTAGCCTAAGGGTTAGAACACAAACAAAGTGTGTGTTCAGCCATACAGTCTCCAAGTTCATGCATCATGCTAAGCCATACATTTTAGCTTTGCATGTTATTAGCCACAGGGACTGTAAACCATGTTTTATGGCCTACCCACTGTGATTTGCTATGATGATTTATTAGTGGTTCAACCATGGTAGAACACAATGTTTAAACGCAGCCACAACTGAAAGGTGATGTCAGAGAAGGTTTTTAGATGTTGGCTTTTCACCCTGTACCTTAGGGAACAACTGAAGAGCAACTGAGTCATGCATGTGATTGATGTACCAGCTGCCCAGGACCATCTTAAATCAGGCTGGTCCTAAGAGCTGAAATATATGCCATCTTAACAATGATTCTCCCCCTGGAATTCATCCCAGAATGGCTAGAAAACTTGTCTCAGGAGCAGTCCTCAACAATCTCAAAGAATAGGTGTGGAGTGCTGGGGCATCACTTAGCTTTGCATGTGGGAAAAAATCAATCCAAGATACTTGCCAGGTCACGAGGATTGCTGGCTCCCAGCCTAGCTGCAAAGAGTAAATTGAGAACGCTCTCTGGGACCTAACATGAGCTTTGTGGAGGAAGATTGAGGACTACATGTTTGCATAATACGCTATAGATAGACCTACATCAAGTTGCTTCCTTGGCTCTTTTGTGTTAGCTTCTAGCTAGCCAAGTTGGGGCTACAGGCTTAGGGTCCAAACGGCTCCTATTCAGCTTGGTTAAAGTTGACTGCAACGGATTTTCCCCAACCTTCTAAGCCAGGGAACACTTTTCTTACTTTTGCCCTTGTGAGTCACACGAACCCAGTCACTGCGGTTTGTAAACCAGGGTTTAACGTGGCTTTCCCCACACTGCACCCTCCAGATGTATCCAGGTTTACAACTCCTGGAATTCTCCAGTAATATCTGGAGAGCACCAGATTAGGGAAAGGTGCTTTAGCATACTGTACAAGCCCAGGATGGCTTATAATAAGTGAATCCTGGATGGCTTATAATAGGTGAATCCAACCTACATAAGGCAAAATGGCTAGAAGTTGAGAGAAATGGGTTTCTTCCCAGTGAAGCCAGGTACTTGGCTAATTTAGCCTTCATCTCCTTTACTTTCTTCTTTAAGAATGCTACAAACAGCACATCATCAAGATGCACTGTAGGAACCATCACACGGGTAGCAAGTTCTAGCTGTTCCCAAACTGGGAGAACTTTGTCTCTGCTAGAGAAGGACTATGGTGCTACAAGAGATCCCAGTTCACATTCTGGCAGTCCAGGTTGCTCCAGAAAGACTCCTGACTGCAAAGTAGAGTCTGCTGCAGCTACGCATCATCTGGTTAATTTATGTATTCCAATGCAAAGCTAATTTACATGGATAATTCTAATGTGCAGCTAATTTACAAGATTGATTCATTACACTGACAGCTCTGCAGGGAAGGAGAGATAAAGCATGGATGTCATACACCATTCCCTTGAGGAACCCCCACTTCCTCAAGAATGCTAATATTGAACTTGGAACTATATTGGGTGAGGTCCAAGTTACATGGTTGACCAGAAGAAGTAGCCATCTTTTAATGACCATATCTGCATAATACATTTCCCTATGTATTAGCTATGGTTAGCTATGGTTAGCTATGGTTAGCCTAATGAACTAAATTTTCTAGCACTGTACAACTCACTGAATCATAAACTAACCCTATGAGCTGTGTTTGCACAATGTACCTGGCTGAAGTCTGGTTGGTCAGCTTGTGGTCAGTGTGGCAGGAACCTAGCCGGAGTCATTCAACTTATGGTTGAGTGTGTTGTGTGAACCAAGACCACAGAGTTAATTCACCAGCCCACAGCTCAGTTAACCATGGATGACTAAGCTGTGAAAGGCATGCATAGCAGTATGCATGATGTGTACATCTACAGGGGTCCTGATATGACTTATGACATCAGGGCTTCTACAGGCCCACAAAATTTACAGGCTCACACACTGGAAAGAAAAGCTATATTTATTGGTAGACAAACCCAGAAGACATGGGATTCCAGGAACACATGAGCTCCTGCACCTCGCTCTTCATTGCCGTTCATACATCTCCTTAAGGATCTTCATGCTCTCAGCATAGCGCAACTGGTTCTTCTGCGAAGCCTCTTTCCACCTGGAAACACCAAGGCCCCAAGTCAACCACTGCACAGGGATCTTTGCATTATCCTTTCCACAAATTAAGTGCTTCCTGCTTCACACTGCTTCTAGCATGGTACAAACGGCTTGATGTCCTGCCTCTGGCCTACATCTTGGCTTTCTGATACCCAAACCCTACCTTTGTCGGATCTTCTTCCATCTCTCCATGTTCTTGTAGATGAGGGTGGACATTGAAGGAACTGCGTCAGAAGACTGGGAGGGTTTATGGGAGAGAGGAAAGAGACAGACAACATTTATTTGCTAAGGGGCTAAGACACTGTATGAATGTCCTAACAAGCAACTTCAATTTAACAATAAGAACATCAGATATTTCTGCTGGGTTTATTAGAAGCTTATTTGTAAGTGACAATCCTTAATTCCTTCTCAGTTGATTTCACTTCAGTTGATCTATTTAGTGGCTCATCTTAAGTTTTTAATTGCATTTTTAAGCTTATACTGACATTATTCTGTCTCATTCATCTTCATGTTTTCTATTCCTCCTATTCTTTTAAATTAAAACTTCTTATAAGTACCTTTTTTATTGACTGTAATCCACTGCTCTAGCCTATAGATCTATAGTTACCTTTGTTTCATGATTTGCTTTGGGCTAGGTTAATGACCGTCATAAAGATTGATGAGGAGTAAGAACCTAAGAATAACTCTGCTGGATGAGGCCAAGGTCCAACTTAATTAAGCATTTTGTTTCTTACAACGGCCAACCAGATCCTCCAAAGTGCTTGCAAGCAGGGGGTGGAGACATAACCTTCTCACAGTTCCCCTGCAACTGGATTTTGGAGGCCTGGGGGTAAGTGAACTAAAATTTGTTGCTCAGTGACAAAGTTCTGCCATTTGCATGACTCCCCAGTATTCCAGCATACACCCCCCGCAAAGGGTGGCTATCGATCAACTACTTCTGAAACACTTCCCTTAGGAACTCTCAGTGCACTTGAACTGAGAAAGGTGTTCTAACATAATCCTCTCCTCTGACAACTTGGCACAAAAACCGACTCTATTCACATCACACAATCAAATCAGTTGAATATGTAGTGGCTTGAGTCATACAACAAACCAAGCTTGGTTGCTGGGGGCAGGGGTTGTTATTCTGTTATGACACGCGCGTGTGATTTGTGGCATTGTGTAAATCCAGGCTGTTTATGGTTCAACGCACTGTGGAAACCCAGAAAAAGGGGAGTAATTCAGTAAACCAGTTAAATTCACATATTATATGACGAGGCAACCATATTTTCTTAGCCTGGATTTAGGTTTTGGCATCTGGTCTGAATCCAGGCACAAAGTTCAAAACTCATTTCAAATTCAAAATGCTAGTATGCGCTTAAGAGTAATATTTTGATGGATACTGCCCCATGTATTGCCAATAATAAGAGGGGGTTCAGATGAGAAGAAGTCTCAAAAATACCTGCCGCTTGCTATTTGACCACCCAATTTCTTTACTGCCCCTCATGACCCTTAACTAGCATGGTGGTCTGACCGTGTCAGTAGCTACTTTTGTTTCCTCTTCGGATTCTGCCGGGAACGGGATACGCAGGTTAATGGGTTCCCCTGCAGTGTTTGTCTGGCAGGGGACAGGAGGTGGTAGCTTGTAGACATCCTGGATCTTCCCATTTAATACTTCGACACCCTGGGATCACAGAGTTGAAGAGAGATGAGAGAAGGATGAGTTGAGGACCCAAAATGGATTCAACCTTTGCAGCCTTAATCAGGGGAGTTGTTTAGGAAATACAGTATCTAAAGCTGTGCTCCTATCTCCTATCTTTTGAATCTGAAATGCTCTAAACGTCACATTCTCTGTCCCGAATCTGAACGTGTAGACCTGGCCCAGCTCTTTGAGGCCAGCCTGGAAGTGCTGGCGCTGTACTGACTATTTCAGAAGTGTTCCATGCCTGAAGTGCAAACACATGTGTTTCAAACTCAAAACACTTCTGGAATGGCCAAAACAGTTGGCAAAGTTTGAACCACCTGTTCTAAACTGAAACTTCTGCAGCTCTCATTCAGGTATAAACATCTTGGTAGGGACAGAGAAGACGCCATGGCCCTAAAAATGGCATGGAACTGCATGGACAGCCAGAACAGCTACAGATCAGGGTTGGCTGGAGATGTGGTTCTGGGACATCTGCTTTCATCTGAGATTTTCATCTGGACGCCTGGTTGCACAATTCTTCAGAATCTAGGGTAGGCCTGTCCATATGGAGATCTATGGAGATTGGCCTTTTCATTTTAGACAGAGGAGCATGTAGGGCAGATCTGGGTCTGAACCTTGTTTCACTGCTGGGAATCCAATGTTCTGCTCAATCCACATCGGCCCAGTATCCTACAGGCTGGGAATTCTGGAAGCTATAAGCTTAATGTACCTACAGGTCGTCCTCGTTTAGTGACCACAATTGGGACTGACAACTCAGTCGTTAAGCAAAGTGATTGCTAAGTGAAACCATGACTGTGCTTATGATCTTCCTTCAGATTTTCTTTGCTTTACAGACCTGTGAAGCTCGTAAATGTGAGGGTTGGTCGTAAAGTTACTTTTTCATCACTGTCGTAATGGCAAACGGTTGCTAAATGAGACAGTTGCTAAACAAGGACAACCTGTATATGATGCCACATTGGTGAAGACTGGTGTAAGCTGTGTCCCAGATCAGATACAGACTTCATTGGGATCACATGCTTACTGGCCTACCTTCCACAATTGTGCGAGTTACAGAGACAAAGATATGCAACAGATTTTAAGTGCGCAGAGAAAAGTCTTGTGGAAAGCAGTAAACCCAGCTATTGCTTTACTTATGAAAAGACTTTTCCCACTAGAAGTGGGATTGGAGAATTCTGTTCTGTACCTCTTCATCCTCAAGCAGGGCAGGCAGATTTGGGCTGGGAGATCGCTCCTGTTCCCGCACCATGGGACTATTCCGCATCCAAGCTCGGCAGATGGGATACAGTGGGGTGTTCTCAGAGAACTGGGCCAGGTCTACACTTCGATCAAATAGCTTGATGATGTAGGTGTCTGCAAAGATAAAGATGCAGCAAATTAAGAGACAGATCTTAAATCAAAGCTGGATGATCTTTCCTCCCTCCCTCCCTCCCTTCCTGCTTAACATGAGCAATGTGGGAGGGGCCAACAATTTTTATTTGTTTAGGAAGGCTTTGGGGAGATTTAATGGGGAAATGAGTGCCTTAAGCTAGTCATTTTACGTCTGAAGGCCCCCCGCTCCAAACAGGAAAAATTGATCCTTCGGTGGAGTTTTAGGGAGTAAAAGCTGTGCCTTAAGCCTCTCTGTCAGCCCTTTGAGGTAGTCCAGGACAGGAAAAGACACCATAAAAAATACTGGAATTCTACTTTATGGATATAGGCTATGGTAACAGAATCTTGAAAGCCTGGCAGCATTTTCCTTTCACTCCCTCTTATACCAAAGAGAGTCAAGGCAAAGTCACTTTAAGTTTTGCCAACTGCTACATTCCTTCTCCGAGATCATCTCTGTGGTCCTCTACATCTGGCCAGCGGTTTTGCTTTCAAACACCTCCCCCAGCAAGAACCCCAGACAACAGACCAACAGTTTGAACCTGTCCACTCCACAGGTGCTTTGGGCCAAATGTGATTTATGGCCCAGCAGTAGCCTATTTCACCTACCTTAAGCAAACCTCCACAAGCAGCAGCCCTTAGCTAAGCTAAGCAAAGTCTGCTGTGGTTCGTGCCTGGCTGGAAGACTACCTAGGCTAGACTGGGAGGTGGAAAGGTACTAACAAACCATTTCTGAAATGCTGCCAAGAACTCCACAGATGCAGTCACCAAGAATTAAGTCTGATCCCTGGGCATCTTTACCTTCAGCAAATTATTTCCAGAACAGAGGAGATGGTAGAGGAAGAGACCCTAAAGCTTTCATTCCTTTTTCTCCTCCAAGCCGGCTGATTTTCTTACAAAGGAAGAGAAGTACAGTCACCCTTTCTTTGAAACGAAAGGCCTCTGAGGTGTAGTACTCCCGAGAAAGGAAAGAAGAAAATTGCACTTCCAAAAAACAGGCATTTCCCCTAATGCAGGGTTGAGGAACTGGTGACTCTCCAGATCAGTGTTTCTCAACCTTGGCAACTTGAAGATGTGTGGACTTCAACTCCCAGCGTCCCTCACAGCTGGCCACAGGCTGTCATCGTTCAGCAATACCTGGAGGCCATCTCTGCCCCAGAGACTTGGGAATTTGGAATTCAGAAACAGAAGATGTGCTGGGATAGGGGAGAAGGGATGTGGTAGAGAGGGGTCATAACTCAGCAGCAAAACATCGGCTTTGCATCCCTAAGGTTAGCAGCTTGAGACTCCACAGAATCACTGTCTTGGCCCAAGCCCCCAAGGCAGCTCTGATCTTTTACTCACTCTGCTTCTGTGGTCCCCCTTCCGTGAGCCCATCGTCCATCTCCTTCCTCTTCTTGCGGCGGTGATGGGAGAAGCGGGTAGAAGGCCTGAGAGCACAAAAGCATAAGGGAGTGATGCAACTGGCCAGAGACCCTGCTCTGAGCAGAGGGGATAGTGGGACTTCTGACCAGCCACGACTTAGCTTGTCTTTTTGGCTGTGAGAACTGCCAGGGAGGAATAAAAAAGAAAAATAGAAAGCACAGAAAATATTTTTTTCTATTTTTTCTTTTTATTCTTTTCTCTTGTTTTAGTTTGTACTAGTTTTTATCTTTTTAATTGTAGTTTTTCATACAATTACTATAACAAAAAAAAAAAGAACCGCCAGGAAGGAATCCACAGAGAAAACCTGCAGGCCAGTTCACACACAGCACTGAGCACTCTAGGAGAACCAGACCACGATGGCATTCAACAAAATTGCATGTGAACCAGGCCACCGAATTCCACACATCTGCATGTTCTTTCTTTAGCTCTCCAGTAAACTCAGTGGGAAAACGTTTTACTCTCCCACCCAGTGGTCATCCATAGCCAGGGAGGACACTGCTAAGAACCATACCTCTTTCCTGTAGCAATAGGAGAAGGAACCCTGCAACCGCAAAGCAAGAGAGGTTAGGAAATACCTAGCACGCAACAGCCCCACCAGTAAGAAGAAAATTGCTTTCCAAGAGAGTTGGTCTCAGCAGGGTTAGCAAGTTTATAGACTGGAGCAGGGATGGGAACCTGTAGCCCTCCAGATGTTGCTGAACTATGATTCCCAGAAGTCACAGCCAGCATGGCCAACAGTGAATGCTGGGAGTCGTAGTTCAGGTACATCTGGAAGGACATAAATTCCTCATCTCTTTGGGGCCTGCTGTCCCAAACAACTAGTAAAACCTCTTTTGTGAATGTTTGGCAATAATAAATATGATAAATATTTATAAAATACTTTTTAATAAGTATTTTTAAAAAGCTTCAAAAGAAAGAAAGCAAGGAAGCAGAAAGAAAGGTAACTAGATAGATATATTGCTGGTTTTTGTACACGATAGTCTTAAATTTGGAGGTTGCTTGGGGAAGATAAAAAGTTTTTGGACCCACTTCTCAAATTCCTCTCAGGTACTCCAGAAACAAGAGCAAAGCAAAGGATTTCAGAGATGCTGCAGGAAACATAAGTCAAGTATCTCAATGAGTGATTTTCAGATGAACATGGTAAGCCTCTCCCAGAAAGGAAATCCTTTCTCTGCCTGCATTGAGCATATGGGTTGAGGCGGGTCAACATGCAAAGATAAAGGAGATGGCTGAACATTATGGCTGCTCCTTACTTGCTGAGCACATCTGATGATGCCTTTCCGGGGTCCTCTTCCATTTGTTCTCTGAGATGAGTCAGAAAAAGAAAAGGGGAAAAATGTCATCAGCCTTGTCCAAAACATGGCTTCTCCCTCGAGGGTTCTTCCTGACAACTACTTCAACCTCACTAGAAATGAGAGGATGACAAACTTGTATAATAGGAAGATTCCAAAGAATCTTTAGCCTGGGACAGGAAACCCATGGCATTCCCTGTGGTACTGTACCACAACTCCCAGCATTGCTCATCATTGGCCATGCTTCCTACAGATACTGGGAGAGGTAGTTCAGTAACATCTGGAATGCCACAGATTGCCTATTCTTGGGCTCAGCCAATCAGGGGTTGATTCAGAAAATGATCTAATATGGGATTTAGTTGAAATCCCTATTTTTGGAACCTGAAACTCTTAGTTTCTGCTGTTTGGAGTATTCTACCCTGACATGGCACCTGTCAGATATGCTGGGACTTTGGCCATAATGGTGAGGAGTTCTGGAGGTTATAATTCCAATACCTCTTGCAGATGATAATTTAGGAAATGTCAAGCAATACAAAGCAAAATTGATCTATTCGACTGTTTTAACACCTTTCAAATATCTAATGGAGGGTTTCAGATTCCTTCTCAGTGCTCAGAACTGACCTTGATATGCCTGGTGATGCTTACCTATCAACATCAGTTTTTTCCAGCAGACACTGCAGGACGGCGTCAAGACGGTTCCGAGCATTGGCTGTCTCAAGATCTGGGGATGGCGAGAGGTTGTTATTCCAGCATAAAGCCACCTCTGAGGAGAATTCATGATGTATCTTTTTTTTAGGTTAGCAATGAAGTCCCCTGGCTCTCTAGGTCCAGGAAACCCAAAAGGTCTATGGATTATTCTCTTAAAAAGCTAAATAACACTTGCTTTCAATGCAATCAGTTGAAGCTGAAGAACAAGAATGGGAATGAGAGAAGACGTTGGATAAAGACAGTGTTCAGAGCCTTGAACATTTATAGCAGAACATTTCCAAGGCATCTTACCTGGTTTTTCTGTTTTGACTTTGGTATGTAGCATGTTTGTCGAGACTCAAGTCCCTGCAAGAGTAAGAGAGTAAAAATCTTCAAACTCACACATTGAAAAGGAGTTTAGACCTGATCTTGGGGAAGGCATGAAAGAGCTATTAAGGAGGGACTTGGACAAAAGATTACACAGTCCAGAGATAAAGGGAAGCAAGAGAAAGAAACTCAAATAATCCCACCTTGATTTTGTTTAATATAAAAAGGGACAAACTTGGACCGGCTTTCAAGATTCTCTTTTTATACCTATAACAATAAAGCAGCATTTCTGGAATTCCTGTAGTGTCTGTTTCTTGACCTAGCCTATTGTAAAGAGCCAGGAAGATGGCCTTGAAGGAAATATTCAGAAATGGCCTTATGGAAACAGAAAGGACAGAAGCATTTATTGTCCTGGGAAGAGAGACAGTATTAAGAAGAGACTCAGAGTGGCCCTTCCTTGCCTCCCTGGGGTATTAGAGGGAGGGGAGGAAAAGCACAATCAGATGTGCAAGATTCTGTTGCTCTAGCCCAGTGTTTCTCAATCTTGGCGACTTATAGATGTTGGACTTCAAGTCACCAAGGTTGAAAAACACTGTTCTAGCTTGTCTCAATAAAGTATAGTTCTAGTCTTTCTGTAGAATCAGTTTCCTGGTCTGGTTTACCTTAAAGGGCGGACACATGGAAAAAATAGTACAGAAAGTTAAACCTACAATACTGGATTCAAGAAATGACAGAAGTGCTCCTCTGAATGTGCTGCATGAGTGCTGACTACAAGCCCCTCATTGCAGTGCTTCAACAAGGGTGGGACCTGTCATCCCATTCACTTGGAAGATCAGCTCGGGAGCCGTTTCCTTAAAGGGCCACAGAACGGTTCCTTCCGCTTGCTGCTGCAGTACAACGGGGCCAGAGGACACGTTAAAGCAGGGAAACTTGGAAGTGGTTTTGCTTTTCTTAAAACTACTTCAAGGCAACCCCACTCCAAAGTCACGCCGGCCAGGTTTGCACAACCTGCGAGACAAGACAGGGCGATTCCACTGTGGTTCAAAGGCGATGGGTGGTTTGTCCTTCGGGGGGTTCTGGGAACTCAAACCCTGCCTTAGCGCGTCCTTGGAATCAGGCCATCCCATTCATCGACCTTATGGGTTCGTTGCATTACGTCAACAAAGCAAGTGGGTCCTCTTGACTGTTTAGCCTGTTCTGTGATCCCAGCCAGCGAGGACTTAAGAACTCTGAACAGAGACATTTATGGCCAGGACTGAGATCCCAAAACCCTCAGAGCAGTGTTGCTCAACCTTGGCTGCATGAAGATGTGTGGACTTCA